ACGCCTTTGAAGTTGAGCTGGTGCAAACATTAATTGCGATGAGCGGCCAGTTTCACGCCCTACATAAATGAGGCTACATTGAGTGCTTTGTTAGGGTCAGCGGAAGGAGTTTTTTCTTTTTGCTCGTGGGGGATCGAGAAAAAGAGAAAACAGCCAGGCAGCGGAAAACAAACAAAAAGGTCAGAATATGAAGGTGGGATAGATTGATCCAGAAGGCAAGTGAAATGAAATGCAAAGCTTTAAATCAATTGAGGAAGTTAACATTTTTCATGATGTGCAGCGACATTGAATCAACATAGCGATAAAATGATGATTCGGTGGGAGTGGTTTAACAATTAGGAATGACACAGGGAATGCAAATGATGATGAGTACTAAAGGTTGCATGGTGGGATTACGAAGGCTGTTTGTTGCTCAAAGCAAATAGATTCCCACAAGCCAAACAAGGAGTTGGTGACGGGAAGCTGGAAAGGAGGAGGGATTACAGGGGAGGGTGATTAAGAAGGAATTGAGTGGGAGGGGCCCAGGAGGGGGGAGAGAGACAAAGGTATCAAAGAGATGTTGGCGAGTGAGCTAATGTATGAAAAGAAAATAGCAAGCGTTAGATGCTGAGAAGATCCGACGTACAAATGATTGCCGTTGCATGGATTGTCTCCTTAAGATGCCATAAGTAGGCCCTGCATAATCCCCACGATAAAAATACCTGCCCCCACTATTTAATTACATAAGATAAGTTGCACACCCTCGTTGGCCTCCTGATTCGCTAGGCATCGCCAATTTCTTGGTTCCTTTCTTATTTTATCATCCATCAGATCACAGAATCAAATTCACAACCACAATGTTTTACTGTGGTAGTGGCAATGGATAATGGATGATATGAGAATGGCAATGAGTGATCACGCCATTCACGTTGCGTCCTCCTTCACGTTATCACCCCAGCTCCTCACGTCACACCCTCATCATTCACTCCCCCACGCATTCCTCACGTGACCTCCCTCCCCTCCCCATCATTCCTTCCGTTTCTCCACATCGTATCTTTGCCTCGCCGGGCTCCCCCCATTCTGGTATCCTGACTTTCCTCGTTTTGTTTAATTCCCAACCCATTCCCAAATCAAGTCATTTATCGTTTCATGTCTTTTTTGTTGGCCGCAATTCATTACATCACGTCCAATGAATTATATTCTCTCACATATATCTGCCAATCACTCGGTTTTTGGCTTCACAATATCTACAGATCATCCCTTCCTCATGTGGCGGCATTAGGCAGATATAATTAACAAAATCCTCATTCGGAACAAGCCTCGACGCTGCCCTTTGAAGCTCATCTGAGGAATAACCAACTCAATAAATGTGAGTGTGTAGCCACCAGATCCGGTGGATATTTGAAATCATGCGTTCAATTCGAATAATGACAACTTTATGGATTTGTTTGGTAGGAGGGAAAGAAAAAGAAAGGAAGGGGAGGAAAATTTTAATAAACTCGTTCTAAAAAATTGAAGAATTGGAGTTATGAAATTTTGATTAAAAAATGTAAAATAAAAGATTAATTAAAATCAATCAAAAAATTTTAACCCAGCTTTTTTAATTTTTTAAAACTAAACTCTCTCTTCCCTTCGTTTCTCTCTACCAAATGCATCCTACGAGTATAATACTCATTCTTGTCCTATTTATAAGCTTTAAATTGAGAGAAGGATGTGATTTATTTTATAGGTTGCAATTTGATGTTTATTTTAACATGTAATACACTTTTTCTAATTTTATCTTTAATTATTCATTCTCTCTTTTTTTGTCATAATCTCTCTTATCACATTTTTCTACATATTCTCTTTTTTTTCTCATTTATTATAAGAGTATATTCAAAAATAAAAATTTATTTTTAGTTTATTTATTATTTTTAACTAGTTTTAATTAATTATTTGTTATTTATAAATTAGTTATTTAAAGTTTATAATATATAATGGGAGAAGCAACGATGCGGGAAGAATAAAATATCGCGATGGGGGACACAGACGTCTGTGGGTGAAAGGCCTGTCCGGTCCGGAACGGGAAACATAGGAGGAGGCCCTGGGAAAATAGAGATAATAATATGGTGCGTGTTTTTAAAGTATTTTGAAATGAACAGCGGGGTCCCAGTGCCTAGTGTAATACTAATAATGGGTGAAGGTCACAGTGGGAGAAGCACAATTATTTGCAAGTTTTAATTTCTGGGGACTCATAAAATAGGCATATATGATATATGCATTCGGGGAAAAATTAAAAATAAAGGCATATATCCATAGATACATATACCACGAACGCTACGCCAACAGTTACATCACCGACAAAAGAAAAGCGGCAACTAAGGTGGCCTGGCCTACGAAGACGGATGCCTGTTATGTTATTAGGCTCATGTAACACAGTTTATAAATAATTTTTTAATAATGATTTATAAAATAATAAAAAAAATTTGTTTTGATTAACATAAAATATGTTTATAGAAGATTTTCACTTTTATTCCAAACAAACACATCAGCAGTAGAGAAAGTTAAGCAAAGAGGCCCCACTCCTACTCCTATGCTACTCTTGCTCCTCCTCCACGCCCGTCTCCTTGGCCCTCTCACTTTTTCTCTTACAATGCTAGGCTTATCATTAAAAGCCCGCGTCACTTCAATTATTGCCTGACCCGAGGAGCACAATCTCCCCCTTTATTTTCCTTACCTCTTTCCTTTGTTCCTTTCTCTGCACACCCCCCTATTTCCTCAAGTTTACTTTTATTCCCAAGAAAAAAAAGAAGGTGTAATGACAGGTTCATACGCACACAGCCTTAGACACCTAAGGTGATAATAAAACGGTAAGAGCGTGCGGCTTGAAACCACATGGTCAAAGGTCAAAGCCCTTCGTCGCGCGCTTGTCTTCGTCTGCGTTACAAATACTTTTTATTAAAAAAAAAAAAACAATTGGACTGTCATCTCCTATTTTTTCAAAAACAAAATACAAAATGAAAAAAACAACATGAAAATAAACATGTAAGAGCAGCCATATGACCAGAGAGAGGGAGAGGGGGATGACATCGGTAGGACGACTTCTGTTGCAAAGTGGAGGCACGCGGGCGGGACCACCGCATAGGACGACTGCCTTGCGCTTGGGTCATTAGTTATTTCAATTTAGGGTTCCCTTTGGACCCAAAAAAAAAAAATTAGGGTTCCCTGTTTCGGGGACTCCTTGGATGCCCTATCCTTCCCCGTTTCAGTTCCTTCTCCTTTTTAACCTTGCAGTCCCTTTTATGGACTCTGCTGCCCTCCCTAAAAGTATCTCAAAGAACCTTCCCCCCCTTTTTTTCCCAAAATTTTATTTTATTAAATCCGACGCCAGCCCAAGGTTGAAAGTCGAAACCCCAAGACTTTCGTGGGAATAGTAAAAGGTGGTCAGTTTGTCTGCCTCCCCTTCAACCTTGTTATCATGGTCAAATTAATATCTCCTCTTAAGTCTAATCATCTCCCTATCTCTCCCCCTCCTTTTTTATCTTTCTTCCCATCACGCTTGTTTCTACTAAAATATTACCTCTCTCTGTAAAAAATAAATAACTACTACTAATATTTTAATACTCAGAAATATATTAATGTAGTCAGAAAGTGGACAAATTTTTTTAAAAATAATATCCCTAAAAAATTGCAGGCCAAAAAGTTAAAAATATAAAAACATAGGGAGCAATGCTTTAATTGTTTTTTTGTTGGAAAAACAGTTTCATAGGTCGAGTTTTTTTTTTAACCACCAAATACGTCGAGTTTATGGTAAGAGAAGATATGTAGGGACCGATTATGGAGTAGGGATGCAGGCGTGGAAGCTAGTATGGGTCATTTCACTTCAAAATGGTCTCACTTTAATCAGAGTTTAAACTCGGAAAATGCCATAACTTTTTAAGCTTCAACACTCTCATAGTCCCATGGTCAAGGGCTGTCAAAGCAGAGCAGCATCATCGCACGTCAAATCACTGTCTTCTTACTCCGTAGCCCCCTCATCATTCTCTGTTTCCCACCAAACTCATCATTTTCCTCATATTCCCTCTGCCATCGTCATGCTTTTTAATATTCTCATTCTCATTATACCATAATTATGGTTTTAATAGTTTTAATATTTATATCACTCTAACATCCTACTATACACATGCCCATTTGACCAACCTGGCAGGTCAGTCACAGTAGGCGTTGATTTAAGATCCAAAATTAAGAAGGGAAAAAAAGAAGGAACTCTGAAGTGGTTTCGTCATGGCAATATAGGCATACTGGTACCATACCAAACTGAGAAATCACATTATGGACGTTCCTCTTCCCCGATATTAATCATCACCGTGAATGATTAGTCCCTGTAGGCTTCCCCCTTCCGACGTGCCCCAATAGAAGAAATGCCATTTAAAAATCTATAATGTTGATAAGAAAAATAATACTGCTGTGGTAAAATATTCATTATCCGTGTCTCCTGTCCATTTACGGGTCAATTTTCCTGCATCCTCCCTTCTCTTCAGGTTCATTTAAGAAGGAGAACACTGTTATTACTACATTCACATCTAGGAGTTATTGCTATATTTACATCCATATCCATAGTCCATAGTATTAAGATATCACATTGCTGGTAAAAAAAAAGTATTAAGATATCACAAGTAAGGCATGGTTATAGTGGAGTGTTGTACAAATGGGGGAAGTGTGCATAATAAGCAAAAGTAATGGTGGGTTTGTATATTTAAATACATTCACGTGCGTTTGTCAACCTGGATTTGTTGCTCAATCTTTACTCCCACATGCCAAAGCAGCAGAAATATAAAGGGGTCGTTGGTAGAGAAAAGGATTCTATTATACTTTCTTTGAGCCTTTTCTTTGGCTTGCATCGAACAAGGGCTCTACCGCTACATATTTCTAAGGTCGTCTTTTTCTTCTCAAAGCATTGAGCTTGGCCGCTTTATTTTTAGACCAGAAGATAGAAAACCATTCCCGAGTCAGTAGCTGTTTCGGTCTTGTCTCTTTCTTTTGCCTAAAGATGGAGCTGGCTTTGAGCTTGGGAGATGCAACAAAGGGGTTCCCCATACTGGACAAGGCCTCGAGAATGCCCAACAAGGAAGCTGGTTTCTGCATAGCAATTGGTCAAGGTCTCCCTGAGAAAGCGTCAGAGCAGAATAACGCGAGTCCCACAGAAGACATCCAAGATGAGAGAAGAGCCTCCTCAGATCCGCCTCATCAGCTAGACCTTCTCCCCTTCTCGCCGGTTCCTCGACCCCACCCAGCTTCCCATCTTCGGATTCCTTGGCTTTCCGATTCATGTAAATACTGGTTTCTCTCCTTTTTTACTCCGATGCTTTCTTTCAGTCTCGTGCTTTAATCGAGCAAACCTCATATTCCTGGTGAATCTGGGAATCTTTCGTTAGGATTTTGTAAGAAAACTCTATCTTGTGGATGATAGTGGGATCTCAACGTTTCTCACCGGATGGAGGAGCGAAGGCATTGGACGTCAACCATATGCCGGCAGTAGAAGCGGAGGAGGCAGACGACAGTACTCCACTGTCTTTGTCTCCTAATAGTGTGTCGTCGTTTCACATGGACTTCTACACAAGGAATGGCAATGCAGGAAGGATGAGCAAGAGAGACCTTAAGGTTAAAGGTGACAGAGATAGTTCTAGGGCCAGTGACGATGATGAAAATGGGTCGACTTGCAAGAAACTCAGGCTTTCCAAACAGCAATCGGCTTTTCTCGAAGAAAGCTTCAAAGAACACACTACTCTTAATCCTGTAAGTCATGCAACACCTTTTTCTTTACATTTCCCTTGCCAAATTGTTATGTGTTGGTGCTTTCTTGATTTTGTTGATTCTTTTATCTGCAGAAGCAGAAACTGGTTCTGGCAAGACAGTTAAATCTTCGTCCTCGCCAAGTAGAAGTTTGGTTTCAGAACAGAAGGGCAAGGTAGAAATACTTGACATCCTTAAAACACCCTCAAACGCTAGTTCTTTGATCTTATTATTATTCAGCTCAGCTCAAGTTGTACAAATTAAAGAAGAAATCATAATACGAATAGGGGGTGTATCTTTGTTGAAATACACAGGACAAAGTTGAAGCAGACCGAAGTAGATTGTGAGTATCTGAAGAGATGCTGTGAGACGTTGACAGAAGAGAATGGGAGGTTGCAGAAGGAACTGCAGGAACTAAGGGCTTTAAAATCGTCTCAGCCATTTTACATGCAGCTACCGCCGACCACTCTCACAATGTGTCCCTCTTGCGAGAGGGTAGCCACTAACTCATCATCCTCTGCCTCCGTTGCTAAGGCCAACAATGCTTCCCAGGCCTCCTTGCTCATGTCTCTCTCCAACCCCAGAACAGTCCATCCCTTTGATCATAATAATGCCCAGCCTCATCCCACTCCTTCCTCATGATCACAATCTGATTCTCCCTTTGTCTTTTTGTTTCGTATATTTCTTTATGATATTATTATAGCAGAAGAAGACAATGCATTCTCCACATGACCTCTCTTCCATTTGTATGGTTTTCTTCTTTTGTTTTTGGCCTTTCTGGTTTCTGTTTCGGCCGTCTTTTTGGGGACCAAAACGACAAAATGCGAATGGCGTTAATCTTGGGTGCTCCTTCGTTGATGTTTTTGTTGTCCAGGTTCAATCGTTTGACTTTTTGACGTTTTGAAGGAAGGTAACACGTGGTAATAGTGCAATTGGGCTATAATAATCCGCGGTGGCTTGAAATTTGGATACTATCCCAACAACTCTAATTATCACTGTAAGTAACTCCAAGTGGTGAATACATTTTCTAAACACGAGTTGTTTCTCAAGTTCGGTAATGGATCCGGGAATAAGAAATAATCCATTTCTTATTTTCCTCAAGAAAACAAGAAAATAAAAGAAATCTGTTATCCTTTGATTGGATTTTTTTTGGGGGGGGGGTGTTAATGGATTACCGTTCAGGACTTGTATGCACTCGTTCCGTTTTTTATTGTTTTATATTTGGGGGGACATCACTACCCCACCTCCTCTTGCAGGCGTGATTGCCTTGGCTTCCGACATGTATCTGCTTCCCACTTCCAATTTAAGTATATATTTTATCTTTTTAGTCTTATTTATAAATCGTTTTTAATATATTTTACACAGATCAATAAAATCTGAAATTTTATTATTTTATTTAAAATTTAATAATTTTTTCACTTTATTTCTATTTGATATAAAATATACCTCATGATAACAAAATAAATATAGCAATAAATAAAGGGTAAAGTTATACATTTGTATGAAAATTCTCTCTCTACTTTATAAATAGTGTTAAAAAAAAAATTTCTTTTTCTTTCTACCTAAATAGGATTATAGGAGTCAGTTTTAGACTTTGATGCTCAGAATCTTATTCAACTGATTCAGAAGAAATTAAAGGTGACACTTCGGTGGATAGTCCCTTGATTCTTTAGATACAAAACCTTCTAGCTCTTTCCTGGCGTGCGGAAATTTGACATATTTCTAGGGTGAGAAATCGAGTTGCCGATTCTCTTGCTAATTAAGAAGGTTTGAGTAAATCTTCGCCCTTGAACTCTTGTTCTTCTTGGTTAAGCACGCTTGTTGCTGCTGAGTGTATTGAATTTAATACCCCCTAACTAATTATTTATAATTTGTTGGGCCTAGTCCTTTCTCTTGTAGCTAAAAAAAAAAGTGTTTGGATAGAAAACAAATCATGGGTTCAAAAATGCTTTTACGGTTTACGAAGTAAATATGTGGAGGAGTTTATCTCGTTTTGCAGAAAAGTGTTTCTGAGAAACACTTCTGAGGGTTGCCAAACACCCTCCAAATTTGCAGTTTTGTTTTTTTCCCCTCGAATTTGAGAACTCCACTCCACCACCACCCCTCCCATAATTTCAAATAAATTAGTTTTAGATCGAATAAAAATACCTTGACCTTTGAGATAGACACATTCATTGTATGTCATGGGTTCTCAAATAGACATGTGCTATACTGCCTTCAGTTGCATGTCATAGATATATACATACATTTACAAAGCAGTCATGGAAATGGAGACGAATGAGGGTGGCACCTATATGAGGATCAGACTGGGAGAGCCCCGTTGAACTACATTAGTGACAATGGAAGACGCGTTGGGGCAAGAGCTGAGCATTTGATGATGTGGGGTAGTAAAAGGCGAGAGCTATGAAGACGGAGGCTAGCAATGAGGGATGAGTATGAGGAGTAGAAGAAAACATGGCTGTAACAGAATGAACGAGTAAACAATTGTAAACAATTATAACATACTCTTCCGGTTCTTAATATAGGACTCAATTATTGAATTGGTTTTGGTCCTAAATATAAGACCAATTTATCATATTTATCAATTTTCTCTAAAGTACCCCTATGGATACTCCCTCAACCATAATCAAGTAGAAGAGGGAGAAGAGGTATTAAGAAAGATGATTATGGTATTTTAAGAAAAACATGTCACATTTCTTATAATTAACTAACTTACCTAACTTCCTTAATCTAATCAAATTAGTTAAATGGGTCTTATATTAAGGACCGAAGGTAGTATCTAATACTACCTTCGGTCCTTAATATAAAACCCTGTTTGACTTTTATTTTGGTCCTAAATATAAGATCCCAATCTACTTTGTCTCTCATATTTATACATTTTTTTCCCAAGGTAGCCCTTCTAACAATAATAGTTTTAGTCAATATACTTGATTAGCAAGGATATTTTAGGAAAGACAACACTTATTTAGGACAAATAACTAACTCAACTTATTTCCTTAATCTCTTCAAATTAGTCAACTGACTCTTATAATTAAGACCGGAGGTAGTATTATATTTCAATCCAGATACTAGTGATAATAGGGATCAATTCAGTGATCCCCTTAATTATGTGTCATTTTAAAAAAAAAAAACTATTGTTCCACATATAATTCTTTGTTAGTTAATTTTACTTTATATGCTTATAAAAATCATTAATGTTTTTTAGATTTAGCATATACACGTGGGTAGTAAGGGCTCTCATTACTGATCGAGAAATTGGCGGCGTCTTAGTTTGTTTAGATAACTAAAGAAAAGGACTTTTAGATCATAACCTCTAGTTTGGGCTCAAATCATCCAAACAGTCCAAGTTTTTAGAAATTGATGTTTTTTTTTAAAACCATGGTTTAAAAGTATGTTAATTATTTGGGTCAAAGGTATCGACGCAATACAGTCTCATTCTTTTAGCTTGTAATTCCCGTCGATGATTTTGTTTTGCACCGTTTCTTACTTCCTCCAGTTAGTATCTGGAGCCCATTAGTGAATCAGATTGTCTTGAGCAGTATCTAGAAAAATAGAGTAATAGTATAGTAAGCTAAGGTTGATTCCATGTCATAGTGATAATCAAGGACATGGTATTATAGTTTTCGCTCTTTAATTAATTTGTTAATACAAACAATCCTTTATTCTAATTAAATTTAAATTTTAATTTTCAAACATGCATGGAGTCATATATGTGACAAAAATTAATTTTAATTAACCTTGTTTTAAATTGAGAGTTTGAGACTCATTAATATTTGATTTATTATTATAAAACTATTTAGAAATAAACATCTCAGATCATCATGCGTTTGATTAAAACCCATACAATTTTGATTACCGAATAACACTACAATTTTACATGAACTTTTATTTTTAAAATATAGTAATATCACAGTACGAGGAGGTAGGAACAACTAAACCTCAAACTTAGGAATATAAAGGTGAACCATTAGTTCATTACTCAAAACTTGCGTCGAGAAAGAGGGGTTCTCTAACAAATACGTTCCCTGGCATGTGGTGAACTGTGTTATGAAATTATATGCTACTAAGGGGTCTAGCGGGGTTCGAAATACCATCTATAGTGCTTATGCATATGTCCATGATGATGACCTCCCAACGTGCGCGAGGTTAATTTCAAGTCGCAGCAAACAGAATCCCACTGAGCTTGTCATCAGTGCGATTGTGACATTCTATTTGGATAAGACTTGGGCTCTTCAAATGGGTCCAGAAGCTCTTGAATGGATGCAGGGCCTCCAACTTCTGGAGTGTCAGCAGTGGGTGTCTATTTTTTCCCCTGCTTTTGTACTGATCCTCGAGGGGCAAGGATCTTTTTCTTTGGGGGAGTATACTGATACATGGGAGGGATAAGGTCAGGGGTAGTTTGGGAATATGGGCAATAAGACTATAAATAGAGAGTTTTATGGGTATAATCGGTGTTGAGTGAATTAGTATTTTTTTTGTTTTACTCTCTTCTCCCTTTTCAATGATAACAGTACAGATGCAAACCTATGACTCATTTGGAATGGCTTTGGAATGTAAAAAAATTTTATCTTAATTTATATAAAAATATGCTTGTAAGTGTTTATAACTGTGATGTCAAATGAAGCTTCAAACTTCTGACCATAATGATGAGAGCCCGGAAACTATACTCATAATCCGTGTTCGAACCACAACATTATGGATCACTTGTCCAGACTTCACATTAACGGGTCACCCAACATTTATTGATGGACTAATTCGTCCTTATTGGATCCTGATCAATCTAAGGCCCAGGCCCAAATATTCGGCCCACCATATGAATGTTGAATCCTGCGCCTTTTGTGGTCGCAGCAACTGCTAACCAGGTAAAATGGTCTACTAAAGATCGATGATTATTATGAAGCCACCCAAGTCTAGATGAAAGTGGCATGACGTGTTCATAAGGTCGGACCCACCCCTCAACCGTGAAAAAGGTGCTTCTCACGAATGAAGAAAGAAGTGAACGCATTATTATATTATTATTATTTGAAAAATAGAGGGAAGTAGCGGAGCCCGCTAGGCCCAGTAGGGGATCCGTAAAAGCGAATCCGTTATATTTGCCCGCAGGCACGCCCATCGTATGAATATGTGCTCAGAAGGACAAACCGTAGTGCATACACACAAGACTATAACCGGAGTATATTAGCAGTACAACGTACGGTAGGCCCAGGCATTCAACAAGTGTGTGTTCCTTCCTTTTTGCCTCATACACAGACTTTTTTTTAAAAAAAAAAAATTAGGATCATCAATTTGGATTGAAATCACTAATTCCGTTGCTTAATCAGGATCAAAAGAATCCATGGACGTTACGTCTGGTGTGTTGACTCAATCTCAATACACGTACTAGCGTTTCATGTCCAGTTTTGTAATAGTGATGGGGTAACTTCTTCTGGTGGATCCATTATTATTATTAGGAGCTCTCTTGTTTACAAAGCTACCTATAGCTGTGTACGTCTCGTTTGATAAAACAGTGAAAATCCTCTGTAAACACATTTCACATAATCAAGACAAGACTCATCTAATATATTTACCTCGTATTGGTAAATCACTATTAAAAAGCGCTTTTACAAGTTGTTTCAAATGGGTTTATAAATTTTTTAGGATTCACTTAATCTATCATCAGTGTGTGTGTGTGTATATGACGATGACGCCTTTGCTAGCTGTTCCAACAAGTTATAGAAAAATGACTGCCACATATATCTATTTAATTATGACGAGACTAGTTCTGTTTAGTCAGATCATTTGAGAAATATGAATCATATATATATGTGCGTGTATAATATCCCATGCATGCCTGCTTTAATCTCTACATGGAAGGGAGGACAATCAAGTAAACGTCACATCTTCACCCAAACGAATACGGGGATTTATACATGTGTGTGTGTGTGTGTGTAGTGTCCATTTATTTTGTCAAGACAAGTAACCACACGCATTTTATTTTAGTCGAACAATTCGGGCAGGCACAATGCTAGTTTTCGAGGATACGTGTTCGGGCGTGGTATCTTTAGTTTTCGGTCTATTGAATTTATCTACGCTTACAATATTAGGTCGTTAGGTTACTAGAAGCTTTAATTTGTAATTCATTCTGTTGGAACATAATAGAACCAGTATTAATGTACAATTTCAAACACACGTCTGAGGGGTCAAAATGATTCTGCTTCGTGTGAATACTTTTATTTAACCATTTTCAATGAAATTCGCCGCCATGAAGTGCGTAATGTATATGGGGGGTTTTATTTGGTTTCTGCAAATCGAAGAAGGATGACGCGCACGAGAAGAGATATGAGAAATTGAAATTAAAAAGGCGGGGAGGAGTAAAAAGTAAAAGTGGCGTGTAATGTATGGATACAGAGAAAGAAGGGAGAAAGCAGATAGTCAAAGGGAAAAGCAATGAAGGAGACGGGGAGCGAGCATCAGTGTGGCGTGGTTGTTCAGTGAGGGATGGGCCCCACCATCTTCCCTTCTTAATTCTTATTACCAAAAGTTGGAAATATAAAACTATCCACTCTCTGTCTCACACACATTTTTTTTATTTTTATCTTCTGGTATTGTGGATGACTGGTACTATCCTCCCCGTTGCACCATCCACTCTGGCATCCTCGTCCGTACTCTGTCGCCTTCCATAGCTTCATCCACTCCTCTCCCTCTCTCTCACCGTCTACCGCCTCATCCGGTCACTTTCCTCCCTCGCACGTGCCACTGTGTCACCCAGCCCCTCATACGTGCCGTCTCCCGTCCATACAAACCTCCCCTCTCTTTCTCTGGTGCAACAAATAAAAGTTAGAGAGAGAAACCTACAGCTAGATATATAGATGCAGAGATAGAGTGTGTCTGTGTGTGTTTGAGCCTGATAAAAAGCATAAATTTTTCTCCGGCTCTTTCAGGGGGTGTGCGGGTTTTGCAACAGTGGATGTGTTTACCTTTCTCTCTCCGTCTCTATCTTGTCGCTTGTTATTATTTTATCATTATCGTTTGCCTTCTCAAATCTCCAGCGAAGCATCAGTTCTGGTCCTGAGCGTTTAAGTCGATTGGTGTTTTGTGGTCTCAACCTTGTGACATAGCGGCGAATCCTATCTTGCACCGATGAGGATCCGCAAAAGTCAGCTCTTTTTTCCTTTTTCCTCCCTCTCTCCGGCTCCCCTCTCAGATCCCCACCTGATCAACCCCTCTCCGGTGGTGCAACTCGACGACGATATCGTTCTCCCTCCTAAACCTTCCCCTCCGTCTACCTTATCAGATCATCCTCGCCCGTCTGATCAGCTACTCCTCCGATCGGCAGGCCTACCGACCTCTCCGATGATCCCTCCGGCGTCGCAGCCGTGGCCACGGATAGTGGAGCTCACCGTCAGCCCCAAAAACAATATGGTTTGGTAAGTGAAACGTAGATGGCCGTTCGATTTTTACTATTTCTATATTTGTGTTTGGAATTGGATTGGGTGGATATGTACAAGTGCAGTTTTGTCCGATCTCTAGCATAAGCAAAGAGGGGTGGTTGTAGAAATTTGGATTGCGATTATTTATTTCTCCCCCACAAAAAGGGAACTCTCCGCGCTTGCCGTAATTTTGCAGGAGGAAGATGGGAGAGGTCCAGGAGAGGAAGGAGAGAAGGGTAATGATACCAGGTAAGAATAAAAACAAAATAGTGATTCAACATATAAATTAGAAAAATATCTTCCCTTCGCCTCTTTCGTGAAATCTTTGGTTGTAGTGAAAAAAAAAAAAAAAAAGTGAGAACATGGAGACCCATGACTTGATTTTACCCTTCGTCCCAAAAGAGATATTTTTTTATTGAAATGAAAATAGCACGCACAGGCGCACAGCGGAAAAATACTGTTAGTGGAAAAACTGTGGAAGCTATTTTAATTTATAAAAACAAAAGCTCGGGGATAGCTAGCCACCATACCCATCTGTTTATCGGATCCTTTATTCCTGGGCTCTATCTTGAGTGACTACCATATGCCTCGAGGTGCACATGTAGCAACCGAATGCTGGTCCCCTTCCACATTACATCTAGTTTTTCATGGTTTCACAACTTACACCCCTTTCTATTTCATTCACTTCGGCTGTAAATTTTTTGTCTGTGTGGCTGTGTGGGTCGTCTGGGTCTGCTTTGCCAGCAGGAAAGGGAGCATATCGGGTTCGCAAACAGTCGCTGATCACGTCCTCTCACCCTCAAGTCCTTCTAATCAAGGTCGACATTCTTACTTTCTCAACAAAACTAATCATGGTAGTTGTTATACTGATGATAAATTATGCACACACATATAAAATCTGTGGCTGAATGATGTTGGCAGATGAGAGATGGTGCGAGGGAGAGAGAGCGATTCCACTGAAGAAAAGAAGAGGGAGCTTCGAGAGGACAAAGGTGGAGGAGTACGACGAGGTGACACAGAATAATAACAAGAAGGAGAAAACTAGGATGAAGACGAAGATGAACAAGAAATGCTCGAGGCAAAACGAAGATGATAACGAAGACGACGTGGGAGGAGAAAGAGAAACGAAACGGGAGCGAAACGCGGGCAGGAAGAGGGCGAGGGGTAGTGCAGTCATGGAAGGGGTCGAGGTGCAGTCGTGTGAACGGAAGAGGGTGGAGGTGTTGCCAGCAAACTCTCGTGGGTTACTCGCTGTGTGAGCATCATCTGGGCAAGGGACGGCTCAGGAGCATCACTAGTGTCAAAACCCGATCCGTTCCTGCCTCTGCGACTTGTTCTCGGAAACCGGAGCCTCACATGTTATCGCAAGTTTCAACTTCTTCGTCTTCTGTTCTAAAGCAAACCAATGAGGCGGAACAAGACCAAGTGGAGAAGAAGCCCGAAACAATGCCGAAGAAGAAGAGGATGAAGCTTGGTGTGGTGAAAGCGCGATCCATAAGCAGCCTACTTGGACAAACCAACACCCGTGTTGCTGCACTCGATCGAGAATAACAAGTAAGGCGTGAAAGCAACATACAAAACCTACTGCCCAAAGCTATTATTTCATGCAACGAAGTTTAATTACTATAGGACTTTGTATATTAATGGAGTGCAATTGCTTTTGGTTCGACTGACTTTCATCACCATGTATTTCCCATGCCATTGTGTTTCTTGTTTTGTCCCTTCCACACAAACACATAAATATAGTGTTGCTTGCTTACTTGGCTTGGGTTACTTTTGTTTCGACCGTCTCTTGGGAAAAGATTATTTATTAGTGAAGATTATTAGACTGAGAGAGTGAGAGGCACTGTTTGTTTTGCTGCCGGGTGCAATATTTATTCATTCAATAAGCACTCCATTACATTATCCAGCGGATCTTCTCAGGAGACCGGATCGCGAACACTTGATGTCCTTTGACTCTGGAAAAAAACTAGTACAGTAGTTTTTGGAAGAAAACGAACGATTCTGTCCGTTAGTTATCACGTGAAACGCATTTATTTATTTTTTTGACCAGCGAAACGTATTTAATTATAATAACGAGGCGAACGTATTAATGAAGATGAAGATGTGATCACGATGATATAATTCATGGTTATTGTTTCGTCGTCAAGTCACCCACACTTGGTTTCAGCGTTTGCACGCCTTTCATTTACGCGCGGTTATATACACTAACACAAACAAAAGCAGATCATGATGAATAATTGTGCGCGTGTTGTCTTAAAACCTGAATTTGTAGTTTCATAGAGCAATCCATGCAGTCTGCAATATATAGGGTTATCCGTTTGAGGTCAAGTAATTTGCTTGCTTAATAATTATGATATTTTATTTAAAGACACCACATGTTGATTTGTCTATATGCGGAGGGTTTACATCAACTATGGACGTGTTCGTTTCCTTTTCGAATATCAGTCATATATTTGTAAGTTGAAAATAATATTATAAATGTTCGGCCAAAGGGGGATCGGAGGCAATGCCGAAGAGAGTTATTATAACTGGTTTGTTCTTGTTCGTGTACAGTTCTGATATTTGTCTTTGAGTGGTTAAGTTTGAGAGGAGGGCAGGTTTTGATTTGGATGGATCGACCCCCCTTCTTTTCCTTTCTCCTTTAGAATGACATGACCTACATGTATACGGTTCTTCCGCTTGCTGTTACGCACTACGCACCTCGTGCATGTACCCAATAATTTGTTATCTTTTTGAGAAACAGTAACAACGTTATATATAACGCCCTTTTACATACGCACTCTAATTTGCCTTACGACCTCTTGGATTGCAAACGACAATGGCTTCCCAGGCGCGTTTATATTTTCTATGCAAAATGAGGCCAGCCCCGTGCCATGATTGCTCGCCCAGAACTTTAAATACTTAAATGACGTGATTATGCTTAAAGCGATAAAGAAGGTTAACTTGGTGGTCGGAGAAAAGAAAAAGAAATCGTTTCACAGTAGTGGGAGTATGTATAGATCCCAATCAACAAGGTAAAGTTGTGTTTGAAACTTTGAATATATAAGCCATTACACAAGGAAGGAAGAAGAGAGCGCAGTCCCCAATATGAAATGTATGCAATAATGTCCATTGACAAAATAAACCACGCTCATAATTAAGTCCAATATCACGCAAGCTTACGAATTCGCGCAGATCACTGAATCGTAACCACTGTTACCGTATACTTTGAGGCTGTGATGAGAAATGTAACGTCCTTTCCCAGCAGTTTCTGAGGGTAAAAAATGGGGAAAAAAAGAAGAAGATGAGGACAATGGACATGGGTCAATTCGTGCATAGTGCAGGTAGACCCCTACGGATGAGCACTATGGTAATGCATGTCCAGTAGCAAATTCTCTTCCGTCTGACTGCAGAATTTTCTGCCTGTCTCAATCAATAAAGATGTGTGTTTGGTCAATGTTCTTTTGATGGCATATAGTAGCGTGGGATACAATTTCCACCTCCATGTGTAGAGTTTCCTTGCCCATGTTTCCCCTCTCTTTTCCACCTTCCGAGAAAGTTAATTAGCTCGAACAGGAGAAACATCCTCGTGAATGTTTTGCCTTTATTAAGAATTATTATGACTGCCCCGTGAAATTCCATTGGCTCGTCAGGTTTTGGTTCCGCAGAAAAGTCAATGCTTTATCAATTTGTCTAGCCCTCTCCAAGATAAACATTGGTGATGAATGGAGTAGTATTCCATCTCTATCAAAAGGTTGTCTTGGAACCTGCTTTACAGACTTCTTTTTCAGTACAGCGATGGCCTTGATGGGTAGGTTTGGGGATGACAGCTAACAAGAATTTCCTTATCTCATTTTTGGGCAATGACGTGGTTCTCATGTATTCCATTCTAGTGCAAAACCCGAAACCCAATTTGGGTTCGTCGGTCCCTAAAATCTCCAAACCCCAAAACTACACCAACCGTATTTATTTAATTACTCTTAAGTTTCTTTGATTTCCTTTATATGTGTGCACGAGCGCACAAGTTTCGTCAAATCTTCGTCTTGTAATAAGTACTGGTGCAAAATAAGTTATTCTTAATTGCATGCAATTGTTTGTGCTGTTTAAGGTGAAAGTGAATCCCATTATATTTAACAAGATGTTTGATATGCTTCAAATCAGGCCTCTGCGGGTTTAAATAGTTGTTTTCACCGTCTTTGATCCATGGCTTTTAAAGCAAGGATCAAAGGAAGAGGATTATGCACTCATGTCTTCGTGCACTTCCGAACCACTGCTTCGTTTATATGCATACCGATCTTTTTAAAAGGAAGGGGGGGGGTGGAGTTAAGGGGAGAATATATTCTTTGTTGAAAATGAAAAATCAGTTTTTTGTAAAGTTGGGACTATTTTGTCTTTTATGGGTAAAAATTACCATAGTGATATTAAGAACAAAGGGCCGAACAGATTGTTCAAGATAGAGATTGTTGGGATGGAGACCCTAATACGGCACTTCGTACACAAACCACAGGAATTATGACTTGTACGCAATGGTTCATGGATCTACGTAAAATAACCGAACTGACTAACATATGTATAGCCATTGGAAGGTACAATCATGTTCAAAGTCATCGTTGAACAACAAATCTTGAGATTCTTGTAATAACAAAACGAGAAAGGTGTGTGTTGCTGCGGTTGGAATAAGTAACTAAAATCCTGTGATCAAGAAGGCTGTGGCCAATTAGGAGGGAAAAGATAATAAGAAACTTTGGTAGGCAGCTAAACAAAAGTAGCATTTGTTTACAGGGAACGAGAGAGAAAAGGAAGCATAAACAAACAAGGTCGATAGCCAATTGTTTGAAATGGATTGCGTGTAAGTTTTAGGTGAGAAATGAAGGGACGATCACACCTCACATGGTGGAATAAGCTGTGGATGATTGGTGGGAACTGGGAAGGGGTGAGGACGAGGACCTTTATGGTGGTTTGGCAATATGCAAGAGAGCACTACGAGTAGAGAAAAGGCATACTGAGAAAAAAGCCAGAGGGCCCAACCGGCAAAGCCAGTCTTCACATCCTCACACCCACTTTTTATAAATATATTATTCAATGGCATGTGGCCTAGACGCCCCACCAATAATCATACACACACACAATTACAAGCCCATATGCCATGTGTTAATACTCCATTTTAATTTCTAACCATCCCTCTCGTTCGTACTTCGTACCTATATTTTTATCTCACTTCTTTTTAACCAAAGCAGCATCCCAAGCGCTTCCTATTTGTTTATATTTGCGCACAAGAATCTGCCGAATTTGTGTTGTTCTGTTTAGGCAAAAAGCAACCGACCGGCCACCACAGGTTGTAAAGGAATTAATATGGGTCTGGAGTTGTTGATGGCGAGGTTGGTGCCTTCTGGGGAGAGCCACAAGGAATTGAATTGTTGCCCTCTTTCATGATAGAATTTACGATCACGATCACAATCATTTGATAACTGATTTCATCTTCGCCCACCAGTGGCCCCCCCACCCGCAGGCCCAGGCTTAAATGGCTGTCATGTGTTTACATACATCACACTACTCATAATTTGATGGATCCCCATTTTTACACGTTACACCAGGAGATCTGGTTGTGTAGACACCATTTGCTTCAAAAAGTAGGACTTAGAAACTGTTGGTCTCGCTCGCTCTTTCCTTGTTAGGCCCTCCATAGAATAGCGACAATATATATACATATATCGAGGCAGAGAGTACGTTATAATTATTGATGCCGGGTTGTTTCTTACTGAACAGCCCGTGCTGCGACGAAGAAAAGAAGTTGATGAAAACGATTACGACGTCCAAATGATAAACGGTGATTAATGGCGATGATGATAGGAAAGCAAGAAGCCCGTGATGAGTCGCATAATTAGAACACATGATATGGCCTCGTCAAGATCTCCGGATGATTCGATGCAGATATGAAAGTTGAGTTTGGATGAGAGAGCGAGGGGGAACAACCATATATGTAGTAGAGACAGATCGGGATGGGACCCTAATCGTTAGGTGGGGTTGATGGAAAATGCTGAAGCAATATTAATTTCTCCGTTTGGATTGTAGTCGTAACCTTATTAATTTCGCAGCTGTCTTTGTCCTTCTTGTTACCTGGGTTAAATTTTTCCA